TTTTTTTTTGAACCTATCAATCGAGCAGTTCACCCAATCTTGCTAAAGTCTTCTCGCTGGGCTTAATACAAATACTCCAAGACAGAAATATGTATGTATCATAGGATTACTCCCGTTTAGGTTCTGAAGCCGGCCGAAAAATCACTTGGTGGTGGCGATTAGACGGAAATGATATAGGATTTGCGGTCTACCGTTCTGCACCCGGCCAGGAAAAGGTTCGTTTTTCATTTGGCTCCAAAAATAGTAAATAAAGAGAAGCAATTCTAACAAATTGCAATATTTCAAGGTGGCGGAACACAATGACGATTATATGGCACACCCAAAGTTCAGGTTACAAACTGATTTCGTACCGGAAGATGGAGAGGTAAGTAGCAAAAGAGCCCACTTCAGGATGTTTTCATTTCCCTTTGAATTCGGATCGTTCAACGCTATTTTCAGATCCTTGCCGAAGAACCTGGCGTGTACAAATTCGTTTTCGACAACACTCACAGCAAATTACGTTCAAAAACAGTAAAATATTGTATTACTGTAGTTAGTGGCCTCAGGAAATAACAAAATCACCTCTGTATAAAACTTAATAAATCTACTTAATAAAAAATGAGTAAACACATCGGTTTCAAATCTCAAGGAAAGGACACATAAAATACATTTTCTGGACTATCAGTATATACATAGAAGGATCGTATTGTGAAGGACAACGCCGATTACAATGATAGACAAGGAATTTTTAGAACCTCAAGTTGACAAAGGAAACAATATTGGTTGAAAATACATAAAGCAAAGAACATCGAAATACAATAAATGATAACAAGTGCAAGTAATGCGAGATAACCAAGAAAACCCAAAAGCGCTTTAGGAAGAGGAGAAAAGGTGGGTCAGAACATACTTTTCCTGGCGTGTCGCGCTCGATACGCCCGCGAAACCGCTCGCTGCGGAAGGAATATTTGAAATTTTCACTAATTAATACGGTAATTGTCTCGGAGGCATTATTACTTGTTGTGGGGCCTAATAAGAACCGATTTTTTTCCTCCTTCCCTTTTTTCTATAAGAATTCTAAATTATTCCAAGAGATTTCGGGACTTCGTTCTGCATGAATGTAGAAAGAGACCATAGGCATGTTTCATTCACCTCTGTATAGACCATAATAAATCTACCTATTAAAAGATGAGGAAAGAGTTACACGGCTGCTCAATCTCCGGGAAAGAACACATGAAAGTCAATTGTGAGTTATTAGGGGAAGCATTCGTAAGGACTGGTCTAAAACCGTGATAGTCTGGTGCAATTCAGAATCAATTCGAATACAAGGAAAATGCGAATGATTTAAAGTGTATACAGTAGAGAATACCAAAAAGAAGTAAATAATAACAAGTATAGGTAATGTGGGAACAAAAGTCACAAACATGGTAAGAAAAGAAAAAAATGAAGGCACCAACACAACTGTTAACCACTTGATTTGTCAACACTGCATCTATCCACTATTCGATTCCATGTATCTACAGTTTACTATCAACAAGATGTGGTAAACAATAACAAATGCAAGTCATATTGGATTAACAAGAAAAGTCACAATCGACAGTAGGGTTCCTGTTCAGCCACTAAATTTCGGTCAACAATGGCATTAGGAATGTAGGCCCTGCCTCTAGTGGATCCATTATGAACTCTGTCCTCCTTGTTTCTGAGGCGATGCTCTGAAGCTGGGTTGAGAGTTTC